AGATCATAATACATAAATAAAGACATTTTTAGCATAAGTAGATGCTGTAAATGTAGAAGTAGTTGCATTAAATTCAACCAGAATGCACAAAAGTGTGTGTGATGCTCAGCATTTGAGGGAGAGCTTCCTCAGACTCTCCGTTGATGTGTCCGCCTTCTGGTTTTGTTTGTTTGAATCCACTCGTATCCAAAATTTGTAATATGATGTAAATAGCAATGTTCAGATTAAAAAATAAATCACTTCATCTTTTAAATATATATTTTGGTCACAGAACTTGACATGAACTTCAGAGTTAATAACATAGAGATTCCAGTATTTTTTTTTAAATAGAATTTAATAAAAAGTTTATGTATGACTATGAAAAGGTGATTCCCTTGTAAGTACCACATTAAAACTTGCAACCAAAATCACAAACTGATGACCTTTTTAGTCACATGAAAATAAGAAAGTCAGCAAACTGTGGAGCTGAAGTAGATGTTAAAAGAAAGAACGCCTGTACAGTTAATCTTCTACTTCAATTTTCCAACATTTGATAGGGTTCCCCTATCTCGCTTCCTGTACCTTTCAGTGAACACAGAGGAAGAACAGACGATGCATTACATGCAAGGTTTATGTCCTGCTGATGGAAGACTCTCTCTACACTGAGCTCAAGTGTCATATCCTCCATACTCTCTCCATCTGTCTGGCCCCTTACTTAGCTTCTCTCAGGGAGTATCAGAGAGTACAGGTTTTAACTGGTGTCATGCTGACTTCCATTAAACATTTTATTGTCCCGAATAAACCCAAAATTTGGATACCTATAAATGTCTCCCCGGTTCATGTACCTTATTAAAGAAGCAAGTCTAGATTGCAAAAGCAGCCCTAGTTTAGTCTTAGCCAATATTTGAGGGGTATTTGCTTTTAGCTGGCCTCATTTCTAGACAGAGATTTTACAGAATCTGTACTCAGTAGCCATTCAGTGTGACCTTTTTAAAACTGCATGGGTCTTATTCACTGGTGACTAGAGTGATTTGCATTGTTGGACGATACATCATAGTGAAAGGTTTGTCACTTTTTCAGCTTAATGTGATATTGGGCTGTGTGTATTAAAGAGTAGAAGGAGAGGAGGGAAACAGTGATATCTAATAGATCTATGGACTCTTTGTCACGCTGAAACAGAATCAGTAAAACTTGCTAAAGAAGGAAGTAATATTTCAGCGAATGTTAATGCACATGTGGTGATGTGTTTGCGAGTTCTGCCTGTGCCACACTCTGCTGTGTGTGTTTATGTCTGTCACTGGATTGTATAGGAATGTGTGTGTGTGTGTGTGTTTGTGTGCCCGTGTGGGCGTTATTGCCAAGGCTAGTGCGAAGCGGAGCACAGCTTAATATCTATGTTTGACATAGAGGCCCATTAATAAGGGCCTGATCCGAGCTTGGTGACAGGACTGCTGACAGAGGAGGATCATGGGGAAGAATCATGCCCTGCTGAGGGAGCCTGGGCTGCAGGTAGGCCCATTCTGCCTTCCCCAGGTGTCATTACGGATGCTGGGTAGGGAGCATAGGAGGAAGGGCCACTACTGACATCTACATTAATCACCCCTCCACACATCAAACCCCCCACCCCACCATCCTCTGCACACCACCTCCTCCCACCTCCAGCTCCTAATCATCCCCACGCAGAGACCCAAACCCAGTAAGGGGATACTCAGCCATGAAAGATATCCAGCTAAGAGCTCCCCAAATACCACTCTGATCTGATCATGAGTGATGTTGCTACCTGAACCTCTGACCTGGCGCACAATTAAAAACACTTTTCTTTTTCTCCCTCGGACACGCTGGAGAAGCACTTCTGATGAAACTACACACTTTGTCACTGTCTGCATGTGATTCATAGTTTGCATTTGGATTACGCCACAGTTACATGCAATTAAAGTGTTGCAAATACCTCTGCTGGAACATGTAGCCTACAAACCCCCAGAGTCCGCAGATGCTGTTGTACACACTCCTGATCATCTCGTAGATATCACTCGGTCCACTTGGGGACCCGCTATTGATTCTCAGCCATGCTTTTATCTGCAGAAAACAACCACACTGTAGCACTTTGTGTTCGCAGCGCTTTAGTATAACCTGAGCCTCATCATGGACAATTCTTAGTGAGAAAAAAACTGCAATAATTAAAGGGTGGAGCATTTCATATGTAGGCTGATCATGTCAGTTGTTGTATTGATTTGCAAACTAATATTTTGAATACTTATATTTGCCATAAAAGTAAGTGGACTTGACCAATTAATTCCATGTCATTTGACAAGTAGACGAGGATGGATGAATGTAGGTCAACCGTCCCAATGAATGGCTCCACCCATGGATCCGTCAATGAGCAGATGTTCTGGGGACATTAATGGGTAATTATCTGATTGATTATTAGTTTTGATTTAATTAAAAACACATAATTGCACACAAAAACATGACAGAAATTAGTTTAGGTCAAAACAAATGATTCATTTCAGCATCTGGTGGTAAATTCATATATATGTTGTCTCTTTGTGGAAAATAAGGTGCACTTGCATGCTTTTAATATATTGGAGTCCTGCGTTTTTAATGCACTCGTTCCAAACCGCTGCTCCTGATTTGCTTTCCCCCCAGTGACGTAAGCCTCATTTGTTTGTGGTTACACCTCATCTGCAAGCTTTCAGTTTTTGAAATGAAAGAACTAATCAACCCAAGCAAACCTTGTTTGTCAGTAATATTATAAATGTCACCCTAATGAAAGATTTGTAATGTACTTCCAGCAGTGGAATGAAGCATAAGCTTGTATCCTGGTGTCCGTGAGTTATCAGTCCGTTGCGTATGCCCCCCAAACTCATTTTTATGTAACATGCCTTGTCCTGAGTAAACACAGCCTCCAGTTTAATTAAAATAAATCCACTTTGAGCTGATATTTAGAAAGCCACAAAATATCACTGCTTGTGCTACAGATAAAGTGATTGAGAGTGGGGAATAAAAGGCTGGGCTTGGGGGAGAATTACACTCTACTTACTTTTCCATCAATGAAGCCATACACTCCATTGTTTATGTTTGAAGTGGGCTTTTCTTTTTCGTAAATGACCTTTCTCCAGTTCCCTTTTTTCTCCCTCTCCTCTCTTTTATTTGCCTTCAACCCTCAGCAACACTGATGACACAATAAATTTCTGTTTGCCTCTTTGTGTGTCTGTTTGTGGCTGCATGCATTTGCTAGAATCTAGGACACTGGAGAGACACTGAGAAGACAGCATTTGCATGCAGCTCACAAACATATTAAAATATGAAGACAAATCACTGTGTCTGGCCAGCTGACAATGCTCCCTGCAACGAGAGCCAGCTAGCAAACTTACAGCATGTCGCAGTTCCCCGTAAGGCCTTTACAGGGCAAGCTTCGACATGTAGCTCAACAAACAAACAGAAGAAAAAAGTGGCCGTGAGCAGTCAAAGCTATCATTAAAGGCGGTGGAAGTGTTTCCTTCTGCCACAGCTATTCGATCATGTGCCTTAGCCTGTATGTTGTTTTTAGTGGGAGAGCAGGGCTTTCAAACACATCTTGGGGGCACATATGTTGGGCTTTGTTGTATGGCTGACTTTGATGTAAATCACAAAATGAGAAATCCAAGCCTTTCAGCCCACACTTCTGCTAATGTTGCGTCCATTCAGAGGAGAAACAAAGCACCAACTTGTTAGATTGTGCGTTCCATCTTTTTACACTGGCGTGCCCAGAGCTGTATTCTTTAATTTGCAAGCATGCTTATTTATTGCTTTGTGCCATTTTTGCTTTCTGAAAGTCGTTTGAATTACACAATATACTGACTGGGGAAATGAAATGATAATACTTTGGTACAAATTTTGGAAAACAGTTTGTCAGCGTAATCATAACTTTTTGATGTAAAACAGTGCATTCGGCTTGTTATTTCCTAACATAGAAGATTTGAGGTTTATTGTACATTGCGTGCTGAAATTGCCCCTTAGGTGTGGCATTTATCAAATCATGTGAATTCATCTACTTGATATAAGACAGCAATGCACGCAGTCTCCAAGTTTTCTTATATCCGTCACACTCCTGTTGGGTCTCCATATGCTGTACCATGGCTGTATACGGCTTCGTAGGCCGGTATTAAAAAAAAGAGAGCATGGTAACAAGAAGGTAGCCATAGCTGACACCAGTAGGGGGAGCTCACAGTTCATAGCTCCCCCGTAATAAACCCTGTACGGAAACATGCAGAAGGCTGCTGCGCGGTAGTTCAGACCACATACACGAACCTCCCCTCTATCTCTGACCATCAGCACATCTCTGGTCCTCCTTGTTGTTTCCAATCATGATTTGGCCATGATTAAAATTGGACTGCAATAATGTTGTTCTCTGCATTCCGTGTGTGCGTCTGCATATCTCGCCCTTAAAAAGACATTTGTGTATTTATTTGTTGGTATGCAGAGCTGCTCCTCTCCTCATCCTGGGGCAGGGCCTCGGTCAATCAGTCATTGATTTCTGACAAAGATCATATTTACAATTCTGCTTCAGTATCTCAATGGATTAATATCCTCATGCTATTCAGCTTATAATTTCCCAGCAAGTGTAATTTGCCTGCGTTCAAATATGGAATATATTGATTAGCAGCTTTATCATATGATGAATGAATTTCATTCATAAAATAACGTGATTCTTATGTTATCCTGTTTTCGTTTTCCACCCTTTTACCGCTGTTGCCTGTGCAGATGTAGTTGTTGGCCCCACTAGGAAATGTTTCAGTAAATAAGATGCTTAAACTCCTTGATGTCTTCAGATAACATTGTTCTCCAACATCCAGCCCTGTGGTGAACAATGACTGCACTTGAGGCTGTAAACGTATAAAAAGTTAAACTCCTAATGTGTAAACATTCAAATATGTGTAAAGTGGTTTTATGGCTTTATTATCCTCCCTCTTTCTCTCTCTCTGCTTGAAATGCTTATCTTGATTATCACAACTTAAGAGAGATTCGGGCTGACATCCAAACTCTCCTCGTTCTCAAACCACTAGGCTGCTCTCTCTTCGTCTCGCTCCTGATTTCGCGAACCGATCCTTGTTTTGTGCGAGTGCGTCGAGCTTCAGTGTGGTGGGCTGCGGGCTGTGCGCAGAGACCGTGCGCTCCTAGCGGCCGCGCTGTTGAAACCCAAAGGCAGAAAGAGAGGAGGATGTTGAACTGTAGAATGACTGTACATTTACAGCGCTGAGCACATGGGTCTTTCGGGAGCTGCTTCTCGCTACAATAACACAACTTTCTGGAAATGCATGATAGCTGAAGTTTGGTTTGCTGCCGAGTCGTCTCTCCAACTATGGAGACGTCGCTGAAGATTTGAAAGGTGCCAGAGACGCGTCTCAAGGACCCGATAACGAGCGGAGAAGTATAGATACTATGCTGTGTTTTCCAGTGTGGACTTAAATTACCTTTCTTTCAGACTCTGTTCGTTACAGCGTGTACAGTAGGTCATCTTGTCAAACAGCAGAGACTGCAGAGGAACTCACGGGGCAAGCAGGGATAATATCCAAAGACCGAGAGTTTGGATTCAAGGTTCGCTGTGTATTTACATCCCGCTCTGCTCCGGGTAAACTACTACTTTAAATGGATCCTCTCTGTTTCTGGACCTTAACACTGGCTTTTGTCAGTAAATAGGGCCCATCCATAACTCCTAGAAACACGGAATTGACTTGATTGTCATTTTGGACATCTTTCTTTCTGTAGTGAAATCGAGGATTTACGCGCCCGCCGTGGATGGTTAATATGCTAGTATGGGTCCGCTAGCGTTCATCCTTGTCAGTGGACTACTGTATTTTCAAGTTGATGGTAAGTTACTAAACGCGTTGTTGTGTAAAACTCCTTAAATATATTATAATGTTCTGTTCTTCCCTGACTCCGCAAGTCCCTGCCGTGCAACACCCAGTTTAAAGCCAATTTTGTTTCTCATTTATTTTACAGTTTAATTATTATAATAATAATAAGTCGCCATCAGCATTGGCTTTTGGGTGATAACATGACGAGCTTGTGGAGTTTTTATTTAAATGAATTTACATCTCCTCAGTGCTTATTTTTCATTTTCTTCTCTTTTTTCATCCACTAAAGTCGAAGCAAAAAAAACGAAGAAATGCTTAAAACCAACAAAAAAGCTCCTCCCAAGAGGCTAAAATCGGAGCAAAGATTAGGTGTATTTTCTTTTTATATGCAACAGATGAGAAAAAGCTGTTCAATATAATATAGAACCATAGCTCATACCATGACAGAACACTTTAAATGTGTTTTGAAACACTTCTGACTGTGACACAGGTTTTAGAGAAAGCTGAATATAAATGATTTCCAGGTTCTGTCACAGCGGCTACAGGTATTTCCATTGCAGAGGTGAGAGAGACCCTTTTGGAAAAGGGAAATAAAGAACGTATCAAACATATGAGATTCGATGTGGTATAAATGGAAGTAGTGCTGTATAAAACAGACAGTAGCCTAGTTCTGCTCTGTAAATTTGGGGGTCATTGGCCTGCTTCTTATATATGCTATGATTGTACAATACTCAGTGTCTGCACTCTGCACTACATGGCGTGGTTTCTGTGCTTTAGGTTTTCAGAGCTGTGGTTGTGCATTGTGGTGTAAGCTGACCTAAACCAAATCTGGAACAGTGCCACAGTTTATTATTTCCATTTGTTTGATTAATGTTTAATGATGATGTGGATTACAGACAAGATTGATTCATTTCTGCAGCCAAAAGCTCCTGCCCTCTTGATCCAGTCTACCACTGAGTGCCCAGTCAGCATCTTTATATTACATGCTTCTCAGGATTCTCTGGCCTACAAGGGAACTAGTTTAATAGAGGAATTAAAACAGCTTCAGCTAGAGAGTTAATGTAATGACTCACAGCAATCATCAAAATAGGACAGCTTAGGTGACGGAAATCGTGATTGGAATGGGTCCAACCTGTGACTGGCGAAACGATAATCGGTATTAAGATGTATTACCTTCAAATTCCGTGGTCTGCTTTCATTTTAGTGCTTCTTTTGAAAAGGACACACCTTTTTTTCAGTCGTCTTGCACACTGTCTGCACATACAATCAGAGGCTTATAATCAAAGAATGAGAAAAGAATACTTCTGACAAGTCTCGTGCTGGGTCATTATATTATCATACGTGAGTGATGATTCACACATATGTTTGTATTGCATTGTTTGCTCAGCTTATCCATATGTGAACCAGTTTTTTTTGTTGCCCCTGAATGCAAGAGTCTGTAAGGTCCCATTTTTTCTTTTCTTTTGCCTGTCAACCCACGCTTTTGTTCCTCACAGCTGCAAGTTTTGGTTCTGAAGCGTCTTAGTTCAGTGTCCACGTTTAGTAGTTTGCAAATCAAGTCTCCTTTCTTCTGGGAATTGAATTTTTTTTCCCTTTGGCCTTTTTTGGTGTTTTTTACTCTGTTCAGCCACTGGTTGCTAAGCAGTAGCTGATGACATTGCTAGCTGGACAGAGAGAGAGAGAGCACATCTCCCAGGGAGCAGTGGATCTTCCCAATCATTTGCCTGTCACCCTCCTCCCCCCTCTGTCTTGCTCTCCTATTCCATCCCAGCAGAACTCACCCATCACCCAGCCTTTTAAGAGGTAATCTTAGGGTCCATGGAGAGGGAGGAGCTTCCACTAAGAGTCCACTTGGGCAGACAAAAAGGCCTGGAGTTGCATTCACTGGGCTGCATAGCCAACAAAGCCAAGACTTGTGAATGGCGTCAGTCACTGTTTAGTGTGCTGTGATTAATACTGCTAGTGTGCAGGAGAGGACTGATACTGGGAGGGAATAGGTGGAGAAAGTGGATGTGTGTTGGCTGTTGTTGGCCAGAGTTGGAAGACATTTAGTGACCCGAGACAAGTTGTGCATCTGAAAACAGTTTTACCACAGTGTGTGGGGTTTTTTTGTATGAAAAGGCCCACTGCAGTAGGATATACTTTCTGGAATACACATGTCTGCAGCTGTTTTTGTTATCTTACAAACTCTGCTGTGCTGCTTTTGAAGCTGGTTTAGAACATGCTTTGCATAGTGGACATGCACTCCTGACCCTTTGCTATTTTGAGATCTCCTGCATGCCTGTGTCTGATGTAGGAGCTGCTGACATCACATTCATCCTGGGTGATACACCAAGAGGTGCTGAAATAAGGACCAACTTAAATATGTCAAGGAGGCTGTTTAGATGGCCGCTTGGGGATGGGGTCGTTTCTGTGGATAGTGTGTAGTTTTTGATTCACCAGCGGGGTTGGGGCTTCACTAACGCTGAGTCAAGAGAAACTCAAACCAGGAGAGCGCGCGTGCGCGTGTGTTATGGAAAGGAGGAGGGACAGAATGGGTGCAATCAAATCTAAAAACTGAGAGAAGAGTGGTTTAACAATACAATCTTTTAAATATAAATTGCAAGGCTGATGCTTTATTACCGAAGAACACTGCAAACTAACAACTCTGTTGATGGTTATGATTAAATGAGAGAGGTTTATAGTGCTGGCCTATAATGGAAAGTAAGCCCAGATTAAAATAGTCTAGGTGAATGATGAGGCAGGCTGAGGTCATTGTGTAAGAGCCATTGCGATTCGTGCCCCAAATGTGATTGTTCTGCTCGAGCTGGCAGTGTTTAGGCAGTGTTATTGTAATTGCGGTTCATTTGCTGGAATGGGGTTGCTGTAATGGTGAACCTTCATCTCAAATGTACAGGAAAGTCCCCTCTCTACTGTATCCCATAGTCTCATCACTGTCAAGGAAGTCGCCTTGCTCTTCGCCATGAAGCGCTACTGTTTATTCTCTGATTAACATCAAAAATGAGTTAAGACAACAAGACTGAAGCTGGTAATCATAATACAAAGTGACCGAATAGGGAACGAGGAAATGGGATGCGGTGAGCACTTGTCCAGTAAAAATCAGCTTCCTGATCCTTTTGTGCCATTTAAGTGATAAGTGTTACTTGGCCGGTAACGTTGTCATGTCATCTCCTATGATGTTTTAACAGCCAAGTCTGGCTGCTCAGTGGTTCGTGTTTCAACAGCGATCACTTCACACATTCAAGACGTGATAGAGTAAAGTTTGAGCTCTCCATAATTCTTTTAAATCACAAAAATAATGCCATGTGATCACTGAGATATAAGAGGATTCACAGCTGTTTTAAATTCTTGAAACACGATAGGTAGTGTCTTTGCATTTTCATGGTGCAGATGTGGGAGAGAAAATGTCAGCTTCAGACAATGCACATGGCTGGTTTTCCTCTAAGACCAGCAAAATGGAGGGAAGGTAATGCCACTTTTCCCTGTTTTACCTCCGCTTTATTAAGCCCCAGTCAAGCATACCCCTGACATTTACAGAGCGGAATTGCACAGAGAAAAAGACAAAATAACTGAGAGATTACAACAGGACCAAGTAGAGGTTTAACACTGTTAGGTAGACAGCTAGTGTCTTTCCTCCCACAATATATATATTTTCAGATCTTCCCACAGTCTTGCTCTTCCCCTGTATCTCACGTACACACATACTGTCATTGCTCAGGTATCCCATCAGTGGCAGTGTCAATGAGGGTGGAATTCAAACAATGAGGAGTTTATTGTACACCTGTGATAGGAGCATAAAGTGGGAGTGTGTTTAGGTTGGGGTGGGGGAGGAGTGATATGATGACTAGAGATGACTAAAGCAGGTAAAACAAGTGGTAAGGGCCTTCACCTGTCTCACACACCTGTACTTATAGAATACACACCTGTGCTTACCGCCTGGGCCCCAGAGCACAGATATAAGCCTCAGTCTGTTCTGTCATCGTCTTTGTTTCGCAAACAGCAGATTAAAAGTTGTAAGGGGGCCAGCAGTAAATAAAGGTGCCGTTATATAAATCAGGATGTGCAGGATGTGTTACTCATTTACACTGTGGAGTTGATGAGCAGTCCTATCAGGAAAAATGTAACTGTCGTAAGAGCACGGCAAAACAACATGACATAAGGACTGAGTATAACAGAAGCCGGTAGTGATGTGAACATGGAAGGGACTCAGTGTTTGTCTTATCTGTGTTTTCATGTTCCAAGCTGCACTGAAATGTTGTTTGGGGAAAGCATTTATTTACTCTGTGTCCCGTTGCCCTCACCCTGCCCTCTGTTTGGCTGTCTCGCAGCAACCTTCAGATAGGAGGAAGGGATGTCAAGGTTGAGTGACTCATGGAAGTACATGGAACTGTATAATCCATGCTTTTAGGATAAAGCCCCCCTACACAAACACAGATACACAAATCCACCATAAACTTACAGACCATACAGATCTATACTGGCAAACATAAAGTGATTGCAGGAGGATAAAGCAAGAAGAAATAATGCACAATTAAAACATTGGGGGGATGTATGTGTTTTTAATTTTCGACGTTTTAAGCCAAAAAACAAAACATACTCTCTTGTTCTTCATTGTTAAGACTTTGTGTGACAGTTGTACCTGAGCTGAGTATCTCACCAGTGTTTTAAAGATGAGGTCAGGTCTGGTGATAAAAATGCATGAGCTGTCTCGCAGTGCAAGACATATGAAGATGGACAGCCAGAGTACGACACTCAAGCACACATCCATCACGCGCAGCAGTAGTCCAGCACAGCTGTAATGCTGCTCAGAGTGGTGGAGCCACTGAATAAGTGTCTTGTTCCACCGTCTTCATCTCCTGCTCGGTCTATGGATCACCTAGCCATGACAGCTATCCAGCTTTTCTTACCTGAAGCTAACTGGAGGATAAAAACCTTTAGAAATACAAAGACTCCAGACTATAGACCATCACCTCATTAGAGTAGTGTTTCAGAGCAGAGGCTATCACTTTGATG